TTCATAAAAAGAAAAGTATTCCTTTCCTTGTGGATACGAACTCTACTTCACTATACTACGTATAAGTGCTAGTATTGAATTTATTTTGACGCACCATGACAAAGTGCTCGTCAGTCCTCAGATGGAACATCATCATAGGACAAGTTTGAGGTAACTGTAAACTGTAGTATCAACTTTGGCTTCAACTTCAGGTGGATCAGAATAAAGTCATCATCTCCCGAATATGTTGTGCATTTTGTGTGAGCAGAAGTAGCATCAATCAAGTGAGCATCAGTGACAATCAAAAGCAGATTAACTTCACCAACGGTTACTGCCTTGTTAGAGGTAGCCACCGGGGGTTCATCTAAGCCTACCGTAGTATCCAAATTGGTCAGTGTGCCATTAATGGCTGGGCCAGAATTTTCCTCATGGACAGTTTGAAGAGCAATATCAAGTCCAACACTAAACTGCTTCAAAAGATAAGTTTTAAGAAGAGGTGGTGGCAAACATATATAGATACAACTTTTATATTCTTTCCCAATCATCACTCAGGAGGTTCATGGTATTTTTTGTTTCGAGGCAGCAATCTAGTGTGCTGCAAAAAAGCAAATAAGAAGCTGCACAAAAAAGCAATCTAGTGTGCTACTGGCATTCAAAATTAACGATGACTCACAGTTTTGTAGAACACCAGCATCCACGAAAGAACAAAATACCCCTACGCTAAGAGAAAATTTAATTCATTACTAAGAATTAAGAATTAGTTTGAAAAAACTAATCTCAATATAACCAAACCGTAGGACATATCTCCTCTTGAGATAGTTTGGCTGTTGGACCTGAAGAAAATTAAAAAACAGTTGAATAGTACTTAGAAAGAGTTTCCTCAGTGGACCTGTTTTGGACAATGTTGGCAACTGAGCTAGTTGGGACAATTTTTAGGTTATTCAGAGCGGTAACATTAGATGAGGCATCAGAAAAGGGATCATCATTTCTCGAATCCAAGGTTTGACTCAAAGAATCAAACTTGTTAATCTTCGGGACCTCATATTCTTTCTGAGCCTCAGAAGTATCATTGGCAACAAAGTGAATATCAGCTGTAATTACTATAATCTTTGGGACAGATTAATCATAAGCAACAATACTGTTATCAGAGGCAACTTTCTCACAGACAACATTTTCACAGGCAACATTTTCACAATTAGTAATAGCTTAACAGGGACAGGGGCATTTTCACATTAATCAATATCACGGCCATCTTTTACAGAACTGTTCACAATAAGAACATTTTCACTATCAGTAACAGGGACAGAAGCAACAAAAATAACAAGAGCATTACAGCAGGGCCGAACCCTCTATTGAGGCAAAGAGGCAATTGCCTCAGGCCCCAAAAAATTGTTAAATAAAAAGAACCCATAAATAATTGTATTCTAGTATTATATATATACAATTTTTTCTATTTTATTAAAATAACAACAATATAAATAATATCAATCGAAATAATATCATGAAACTATATAAGATTAATTATTTGATGTAGGCATATAAATTAAATTGCTGCTTATAAATCTTAATATCCAAATTTTACATTATTCAAAGGTCTTTTTCAAAAATTCGACTCGGGCCAAAACAATGTTAGGATCGGCCCTGCATTACAGGCAACTTTAGTATTGCAGAAATTATCACAGTAAGTCTCAGTTGGAGTCCCCTTAAATCTTAATGAGTGAAGCAGAAATGGCTAAGTTATTGTTGAAAGTCGGGGCTCAGTTATTGTTGAAATCATCACAGTAAGTCTGCAGACATTTCCTTTACACACCGGGGTATGTATTTTTGGTAGCAGTAACCTCACCATCCAAAGAGGGCTGGAGCATCATCAGTTTTGGGTCCAATTTGAGAAAACCCTAAGGCTCGAAGGCCTTCCGAATAGCAGCCAGAGGGTGGGTGGCCATAAGGGCAGGTCCCAACCAGAGAGTAACAACAGAAATTAGAGGACAGAACCTGGACTTCATCTTAGGAAAAGGAACCCCCCAAAAAACCTTTAAATCTTAGCGTCGCCAATGTCCGAGAAGGAGTCTGGATGTGAGTATAGGCGGTGGCCGAGTACAGATTACCTTACCGCTGCTGCATACGAGGGCTTCCTTGCAGTGCCAACAGTATCATGGTCCTCCGCCTCCGGCATTAGGGTGTCGCGCAGGCATCGGGTGAGAAGCAAGAGCAATGAAATTAAGAGAGAAGGTAGAGAAGCGGGTGATAGACATATTATCTCACTCGAAGAAGCCCATCCACACACTGGAACAGAACAAACAGGAGCAAGCATTTTCTCAGCCACACAAAAAATTGGAACCAAGGGAAGAAGATGGTAACAGAGCGTTAGTTTCCTCTGCGCCAATTTGATGTTTCCATTGAGCACTGTATAAATGGAAATAGGACCACTAACGCTCTTAGAGCCTTTAATATATAGTAGGATAGTATAGGATAGGATTCTCTTGTCCTGCTAGGTTATTGGGGCTTGGTTATTAAGAGTTACTAGTAAAATGTTGCATTTCAATTTTAGGTAGAAGACGTGTTGGCAAGAATTATCAGACGATTGTTGGCCGGTCGACCGATTCCTATGACACTGGTGCTTGGTTATTTAATAATAGTATTTCCTACAGTTATTGTCCTTATTCTATGTTTGCTTGTATCTCCCTATTCTCCGTATAGTGTGCTTGTTCTTCTTGTTGTATTTTGTGCATCCTGGCTTTGCTTAATTTGAAGATATATACGAAGTATATATACTTCAATTCACACATATGAAACAATACTGACGGTTTGATGAGATTTGAGTTCTAATTAATACTCTGTATATATTTGTGGAAATTACCGATACAGTCTACCTTTATCATCTGCATTTCATTTATGTCACCCTATAATTATTTTTTCATCTCTAGACTTTCACCTTTTCATCTTTAATCTTTTGATCTTTTTTTATTTTAAAATTAGACTTAAGTCATTTAAACGGTGAACCCTAAACCCTTCAAGACCTACACCTGCAAGGTTGCAACGCTCTCAACTCTTCTCTGCTAAGCAAAGTTCATCTCCTCAATGTTCCTCCGACACCGGCGTCTAACCTCCGCTCGTCCCACCGTGTCCTTTCCTGTTCAAAACTCTATGTCAAGTTCCCGACAACTATGGCAGGTTTTCTCTCCCGTTAGACCTCCGTGGCTCTGCCTATTTCTTTGACAAGAGGATTGGAGACTTTTACATGTTTAAAAGAAGATCAATAAGAGGTGATTCCTCATAGGCAAAGTAAGTTATAAAAAATGTTCGTTAATTTGCTAAAAATAGACGAAACAATTGTTCTAATTTGGACTGATTGGTCCTCGTATACCTGAATCATCTTCCTTCTCCTTTTTGTGATCTAATTTATATGATTATTATGCTCAACTAAATCTTATTTAGATACATTTATTGTGATTGTTCTTTAGGTTCTCCTACTCATAGCCATCACGACAAAACATAATTTGAATCGTTGATTAAGCTGCTCCTACTCTTGGAGATCCATTTATGGTCTGACATGGCTTTTACGTTTATAAAAATTGCTAGAAATAGGACAGTGTATACATTTTTCTTCATGTTTGAAGTCTTTGGTGTTTGATTGTTAAAAAAGACCAATCTCAGTTTGGAGGTTCAAAGATAAAACGTACAGGGTAACGAACCTTTCATCTCAATTTCATATGAAGAAATTCACAATCTATTTATGTAATTTGAATTGTCTAGCGTATGTAATTTTTCTCTAGGACAACATTGTATATAAGTATTTAAGTTTGCTTTGAATCGGTTTTGGTTCCATTTTTTCTTTTTTCTTTGTTTTAAAAGGAAATGTTTAAACTGTTATAGTCAGTTACTTGATGCTATTAAAACTTCTAACTTCTGATATAGAGTTCATTGACAGCCTAGAAAGGTATATTGTTCTCATGTTATGCTTCTGCAAGTAATGCTAATAGTTGAGCTACACGTTTGTCATTTACAAACTATATATAGATAACATATTGGAGTGTCTAGCATTAAAAGAAAGGTAGGGTAGTTGAAGAAATGATTATAATTGCAAATTTATAGTATCACAAAACTAATTTTGTATCGTTTAGAGAATGCATCATGCCTTCTTTTCTTCCTTGGACTTGAGAGTCACATATCCAACAAAAATGCTCAGGAAGCTGAGAAGTGCCACACCAACAAACACGGGAATGAGAATGACATATTCCCGTGGCCTGTGGGAGAAAGTAGTTGTGCACAAAGTGATCATGATTGACAAAGGGCAGGATGGTAACCCAGAAGGTATGGTAAGTAAAAATTAACAAACTAGTTATTGTTAAAAGCAGCCCGACATCTTTATCTCCAACTTTTATAGTAATCTACTCCGCCTGTATGAGAATCTTCACTTTGATTGTGTCGTGCTATCGTTGCTATATACATTGAGCCTTCACATCTATTCTGAGTTATTGGTGCAAGAAGCCGGAGAAGGGGAGAACTGGGGCAGTTTTGGTTCCTTCAAATGATACCTTGTTCATTTTTTAGATTGAGTTGCAATCCATGTCCTTATTCAGAAAAAAATACATGTTTGGTTTCTGGATTGGTTTTTGCTTCCTACTTTTCTATATTTTCAGCATTGGTTCATTTTCTTATAAATTTTTATTTATGGTAGTATGGTACATTGCACCAATTGAACAATATAATGATAATTCAGTTTCTTAGGATGTGCATTGCTTCTTCAATTTGCATTAGTTATTAAATCTATGCTAGATGATATTCTGGATTAGTTTCACTAGTAGAAAACAGGCTTACAGTGACACTTCCATAGTGACACTTTCTGATAAAATACAACTAATGACACAGAAGTGTCACTAATTTCTAACACAAAAATATCATTATGGAATAGTGACACTTTTGGACAATTTTTTATTCAATAAGGAACTACTATTCACTTTGTGGACCTGATGCGCGCTGAGTTTTTTTAACCTCTAAACTTAGGGATTTTTCATATCCCACTTTCCTCTGCAAAAATATCTACCGATCGATTTTCTCCCATAGAGAGCTAAGCCGCAGAACCAGATTTACTCCGTCTTCTCCGTCTTCTTCCAGAGATGATAGACTTTCCTAAGTTGCCTTACTCCGTCGCCGTACTCCATATTATACGCGTTGACGGTTGACCTGCTTGTTCCCCACTTTCGTTGAATCGTTGTGCCTGTTCCGTTGTTCGTCGTTCTAGTCCAGAGACGAGACTCCAGACTTCGTCCGCTACTCCGCGTCGCTACTTCAGTACCTGACCTTGCCGGCTGCCTCCCTGCGTCATGAAGTCCGAACTCAGAATGGCTGCCCCTGCCAAAGTCCGAACTCACAAAGTCCCTTCCCCTGCCGGCTGCCAGTTGCCTAGTTTGGGTAAGTTTGGTCATTATTTGCTTTAATTAATTTTTTAATTTAAAATTGAATTGATTAATTGATTTAGCAGGTGGTTCAGATGATTAGGAGCACTATAAGCATGACTGGTTGCATCCATTTTTTATGCACTAGGTAATTGACATGCTGTCTACTGCACAAAATTCAAAGGTGTTTGAATCTCCGTTGACTAGTAAAACTCCAAATTCACTACACTCACTAAAATGGGCTGATGCATATCCAAAACTGTTTAGCAACCATGGTGCTTCACGTTTAAAGCGGGGGTAAGGGTATGCATGTATTAGGTGATTATGCAACTTCATCTTTTTACTTATCAATAATCAATCACTATTTACTTTATTTCCTTTTGCAGGGCTCATGAATTTGCTTGTAGAAGCTTATTTTATTGTGGAAATCATTTTATCTCAGCTATTGAGGTGAGCAATTTATAGCTGGACAAGTTGAAAATTGTATTAGCCTTCAAGGTTATTTCATCCAAGTTTATACTCTATTTGATGCTGATTTCACAAAATCCTTCTAACACGTGGTAGTAACCAGAGGTTTGTCAAATTCCGATGAATCATAGTAGTATGTGGGGCTATCTACAAGGGCATTGACTTTTAGGTGTATATAAGGGCTCCATTATCTGTCCAAATTGCTAGACTTTCTCCTATTAAAGCTGGTTCCACACTGAGAGACACAACTGATGAACCTTTGAATGCAGGCACCAAACCTTCTTGACGCCAGAGGGAATACAGAAAAGAAGTTTGAAGATTCAGAAGAAAGAGACCAAAAGTGTAATGATTGTAAATCTTGTTCTTGTAGCTTTCTGCTCCATATTTAAGTATTTTTTCTCCTCTTTTACCCTATTAACTCAAAGTTTTGTGTAGATGATCAGGTGGTGAGGGGTATGGATAATGCACATGCTAAAACAGTGAACCCCTTAGGATCATCACCATCCTTTAAGAAAATTATTGCATTTCAAAGTCTCCTCACGAAACCCCTTAGCAGTTTATCACTACAAATTTAATGTCACTGACCCAACTAGTTGGCGTTAAGGTGCTGATAATGATCAATCATCTAATTGACATGTTGTATTGAACAGCTAAAATCATGCTTGCTAAAATCATGCTTGCTGGCTCTTACTAGTGTGTATAATCATTCTCAAGGTCTGCATTATATATACCATCTTTAAGCATGTTTCTTTGATGTTTTCCTGAGATGAAATATTTCTCTGTTTGTTTGATAGAGGTCGCTTTGCTTCTGGAATGCAGTTCTTAGTTCTTATTATTGATAGCTGAGTTCAGTAAAATTGAAATTAATTAACGTTGAAAAACTTTTGGGAAGTCTTGGGGGCTTATTTTCCAAAACTTGGAAACCTAAGAAGAATTGCCCAATAACCGGCCCTATTATCACACAAGGTTAGTTCTTTCTAATCTCCTTCATCAAAGAAAAATGGGATCGATTAAAAAAATGATTACTTCTTTTGGGATGTTGAAGTAGGTTGCTGTTTTTGTTTGACTGTTTTTAGGATGTGGCAGATGGTACTTAGAGAAAGGGTAACCACTTGGAGCAGAGGGAAAAACTGGGGTTGAATTCTGCTCCGAAAGGTCACTCAAGCACACAAACAACCCTTCCTGAACCAACTAATGCATTGTATAAAGTCGAAGTAAACCTTTTTTACTTTGGGATTTTTCTATTTTTGTGTATTATTATTGTTAATGTTTTTATTATTACTATTCTTTTATTGATCTGAGAAGTTCAGCTTTTGTTTACGACTCCATTCTTAATGGCTGACCGGGTGAGTTTCGAGATACACCTCTCCGTCATTTTCTTGTTTTAGTGTTCTTACAGAACATGCAATAATTTGAACTTCTCAAAATTTCTCTCTAGTCTTCAGGTATGTCCTGAATTCACAACATATGAAGAGGTTTTTCACATACATACAACTACCAAATTTTGGCCTTGCTGCTGATTCTGCTGCAACTTTCAAGGTTGAATACTTTTGACTAAAGTCATGTAATTTATTAACATTGGGAAAATATCATATGGACTTTGATGCTCTGCCATTGCCCACCTCACTCTCTATATGTGTGTGTCTATGTGTGCTCATAAGTGAGTGTGAACTGGTGTTGGTCTCTGTCATTTGGACTGACGACAATCTGAAAAATGACGTTGATAAAATTACTAAGCAGCAGTAAAAAAGATATTGGGGCAGTTTCACTTTATTCGATATTGGTCTCTGTCGGTTATGAAATTTCTTGGTTAAACAGTTTCACTTTATTCGATTAATTAGGATGTCAATTTTTAATTATATTCTAATTTGAAGTTTACAACTTTGAAAAGATTTTAATGTAGTTTATGAATATATAAATTTTAATTATTAAAATCTGAATTAATTATTGATAGAGAGCATTGACTTTTATTATTGGTTGACCAAAAAATGTTGACTTTACAAAACAATTTGAGACGGAAGGAATATTATCATACTATCATACTAATAAACCCTTAGCCTGTCCAAATTGCATGTAAGGGGGAATATATAGTCATTTAAGATAGGAAAATCAATGAAACAATAGCAAGGAATTGACCTGTGTAATCATCTAATTATACGGAGTATGTCACTACGTGCAATGCTGCCAACACATGAATTTGGATCCTCTCCGGTGACTGGAGAGTTCCAGTGGGAGAGAGATAGAGAGGAGGAGATTTTAGGTGAAGTATGTAGATGAGTAAGATAGAGAAAAAGGTAGAGAGAGATAGGAAGAAAAAAAAGAAATGGATGGGAAATGGAGAAGAAAAAATGGAGAGGAGTTGCACCCCCAACAAATTGCCCCTTTAAATGTGCAACAGAGATGTAGGATCAATATGAGGTCAGCACACTCAACACCCAATTTAGTATACAAAATTTTGTTTTAGTAATATATTCGAATGTTAAAATGGACGATTTCAAAGCATTTATTTCGAGCATTTATCTTTGGGAAAATCGTACTTTTAGTCCTTGAAATAGTCACTATATTGAAATGTCAGATCCGTATTTCCGAGATTGTAAATGTCATCCATCAATTGTCCAAATTGATGTAAATGTGATCGCTTGGGGGGTGAAATGTATTCCTCGCTCACACTGTACATTTCACCTGATGGATAGTGTAACCGGGGTAGCTTATCCGAGGGGTTATTTCGGGAATAACTAGATAGAAGTCAGAGCAATAAGTAGAGAGAGAATATGTATTCAGTATGTGAATTTGTGATGCTTTACAATGGCGAAATGGCTGCTATTTATAGCAGCAATAAATGCGATGAGGGCTGACGCTTTTCGTTTCATTTCGGGGGATGCCTCGTTAAAAACCTCATTAGGAAAAATCATGTGGGAAAAAATTCTAATGAGAGAAAAAGAATGCACTGAATTCCCCCAATGATGAATAAAAAAGGTGAGGCAAGCGGAGTCCAAGTACCTGCAGCGGACTTGACAGTGCACGTCAACATCAAGCCATTAGTTAAATGTAATAATTTTAAACAATAGATTGAATAATATATTTGTTGCGATATTTATATGTTGGTGTTGTTGCTTTTTGTTTTGTTGAATTATGTTGTTTTTTGTTACGTCATGTTGTTCTTTGTTGCATTGCGTTGATTTTTGTTGCATTGTGTACTTATTATTGCTTTTTGTTTTCTATTGTATATATGCATATATATACAAATGCCTAACATGATGAATTTAGATTTATGAATGTAAACAACAATTAGAAACATAAAGAAACAATTAAAAACAAAAATTTCATAACTATGAACAAAAAAGAACACGTAGAAACAATAGGCAACAAAAACAAATATAATAATAATAATAATAATAATAATAATATCTTCTTGTGATTTTTTGTAAATTTATAAATAACAATTAATTTTTGTAGCTAAAATAATAACAAATCGCAAAATTCATATGTAATACGCAGTATTATTTACTTTTAAAAAAAATCGTTCATTTTTACAAATTATCTATAGATAAATGTAGTAAATTGGAATAATAGATTGAATTGAATATTTATTGTGATACTCTTATGTATTATTTTATGTTGCTTTTTGTTGTAGTACATGTATGACATTTTGTTGCATTGTGTTGCCTTTTTGTTGCATATTGTTACTCTTTGTTGCACTATGTTTCTTATGATTGAATATTGTTGGTTCTGTTTTTTGTTGTTTAACTAGATTTCTATTTACTTTTCTACATCATTAAAATAGAAATATCTATGTAGGTTGAGTCAAAATCATTTAGATACAAACACCTAAAATGTTAAATTTCGATTAATGAATATGAGAAGCAACATGAAACATAACAAAACAATAAAAAGCACAAATTTCAGAATTATCAACAAATAGAAACACAAAGAAATCATAAGAAACAAAAACTAACAAAAACTAAAATCATAATAGTAATAATTAAAATTTTAAGCACTTAAAGAAAAAGTACATTAGAAAATTCGTATTTTTTAATTTTTTGGACATGCAATTATTTTTCAACTTCATCATTTTAATTTATGATATTTTAATTCTATGAGTTTATTTTAATTTTACCCACTTTAAAGTTACATTAATTTTTTGATTTTTCTATAATTTTATTTTATGTATTTTACTAGAAATATTATGTAATGTATTTTTTATTATATAAATTTGAATTTTAACTTTTTTATTTTCTCGGTTTTTACACTTTTATATATTATTTGAATTTTTATTATTTTATCTAGCTTTTATTTTAAAACTTTGACTCGCTCTAATGTTCTTAAAATATTTTCACGTTTTTTAATATTTTAATTTTTTTATATTTATTCTTAGAAAGTTTAAAATTCCAATTTTTAAAGTTTAATTTACGTTTTATCATTTTTTGAGAAAGTTTGTATTTTTTTACTTTTTTATGATTATATATATATATATTGCTTTATTCATTATTTTTCAACATTTTATTTTGTAAATTATGGAGTACATAATGCTTTTAAAAAATAACATTACAAAACTTGTTATTTTACATTTATTTTTCGATTATTTTAATTTTTTTCCATTTCTGTACTTTGTACAATTTTTTCTATAAAAATAACAAAATTTAGTAAACCTGGCAACATGCGAGCTATTTTCCAAAAGAAAAAAAATGTAAACCTGGGAACTTAGTTTATGCGTCGTACGGAGTATTATGTTACTCCCTCCTTCCCAAAATGATGGTCCTGTATTTCCTTTTTGGGATGTCCCAAAATGATGGTGATGTTTCCCTTTTTGGAAAGAAAGATGTGGTCCACATCATTTTACTTTATTATACTCAAATCTCAACCACAACTTTTATCTTTTCAACCACTTTATTAAAACTTATGCCAAAAGAAATGATACTATCAAATTGGGACGGAGGGAGTAAATTAAAGTGAGATCTTCCCGTGCGCTTCTTTGAATTCCGGTGAATGGGTATACGGACACCTGGTTCATTTGTGAAAAGAAAAAGTTAACTCATCTATTTTTGAAAGAAAAATTAAAGCCCTATATATTTCTATGCCGTATCTAGAGTTCTTCGTACCATAAAATTTGATCTTATTGACTTCTCTTGACGATGATAATAAACTTTTATCAATGGTTTTAGTTTAGAAAATATATCTTTTAAACTTTTATCAAAGTATTTTTAACAAAAAGCATTTCAAAATTATTTTATGATTTTAAATAAATTTTTATTAAAATAGACTTCATCCATTTTTTAATTCTTGCAACATTGTGACTTTTGCGCTATTCACAAATATTACTTTTATCATGATTTTCTACTAATACACATAGTCAAATTATTTTGTATTAAATGTTATTGAATTCCTATCAATGTGAATTTCCAAAATATCAACTTTTTATAATGTTGAGTAATACATAATTAAATATAATTACAATGAAAGTTGTGCGTTGACAAACGTGAAAGTCAAAGTGTTGCAATAATTAAAGAACGGGAATAGTATGAGTCAAACGGAGTACTACCTTCGTTCTTAAATAAATGCAACACTTTGACTTTTACACTATTCACATGTTCTACTTTGACTATGTTTTATTTATTAATGTAATAATATTATTTTATGAAAAAAATATTGTTAAACTTGTCTCATTGTAAATTTTCATAATCTAATTTTTTTTAATTTTTTTACTAATACAAAATCATTTATATTAATGGTCAAAGTTGTGTTTCGGAAAGTGTGAAATGTTGACCGTTGCATTTATTTAAGAACTGAGGAAATATTATTCAAGAAATTTTCCACATAACTCATAAGAGAATCACTTCAAGAGAAACATATAGTAGAGAGCAGTGCAAGTTACAACAATACTCAAATATTTCCGAGCAATGTAACGATAGAACAATTATATTTGTCTTCTGTTGCCCAAGAGTTGTTGGACGAATTGCTTCTGGTCTGAAACAAGATGTTGTTCTCCACCTACCTGCGTTGGGAATTTCGCTACAGAGAGAGATCACATTTGCAAGTGTATTTTGTGGTGAAATAAAGCATCGAAAGGCCGGTCAATACTTAACACGTACACTTCAGAGTAATAAATACTATGGTATATGAAAGTATGAAACTCAAACATTAACATCCACACACGGTCAATAAAATATGCCTGTGTTCATTATTAATAATAACAAAACGTCTATACAATTAAATGCTCCACTATATACTAATACATATACTACTGTAAAAACGAAAAACACTAATGAACCTATAGCTGAAATTAGAAAAATATATTCTTCGAACCAACATCCCATAAAAGAAAACAATGTGCTCAACATTGCACCCAACATAAGCTCCACTATCAAAAGAACTCCTTCTCCGGTTGTTTCCAGCCTTCGTGGTAAGGGGGGAGTCAGTGTGCCAATTAGTCCTTTAACTATGAAGCCAGAAAGATACGTCATCATAACAAAGCCTGTGGCCATCTTTCCCAAACGGCTTTTGAGATGGTGCACTTTTACGGATAAACCACTACTCTTTCTCAAAATAATAAATATAGAAAGCTGCATGCACCAAAAACAATAAAAATAATATCACTTCGAATGACTAGTACGTGTTTTTGTCCCAAAAAATCGTTTTTGCATAAACAATACCTGACATATCATAAGGACAAACGTCGATGCCATGGCGGGCCACACTACTCCACATGCACGAGCAACAAAAGGAACCACGAAAAGTATAGCTAAAATACCTAAACCACTACTTATTACCCCACCTATATTGGTGGGCATAATGGACAAGTCTACTGACTGTAAGATTAAAGGACCATAAGAAAGAAATGGCCCTAAATGAAGTAGTGCCTGAGACGAAATCAAGAAGCCCAACCGCAGTTTAAAGGCATACGAATATCTACCTCGCAGCATGCGAAATGGCCTAGTGTAACCCCTTTCTCTTCTTAGCCTAATAAAAAAAAGTGGAATACACACTAAACCTAAGAAACCTAATAGAATAACAAAACCCCAAATAGGAACAGTCCAATGATCTACCAAGGAACTAAAATACGTAAGAGTGGAGGTACAAACTAAACCTATGGCGCCTCCCAATGAATGACCTACATCAAAGCATAGGCTAACTCTCTCTCTCTGAGCCGAGGAGGCCATCTGGGTAGGTAGAATAGGGATTACCTGCAAATTTAATTTGCAAATAGTTAGTGTATATACTTCTGAAAAGCTGTGAATGAAATTCAAGCATTTTTTTTTTTTTTTTTATAATCCAAGTGTCGGTGCTTACGCTCCCATAATCAAGCATTAAAAGGACGTACGTGTGTTATAACATTTACCTGACGGATAAACCCCATGCCTATCGCGATGAGATGAATGAGAATAAGGAATGCAATGTGGTGAGTCTGATAGACTATGATCCAGACTCCAGCAGCAAATGCAATCAGAACACCAAGTGACACAGTGACTCTACGACCCCGATGATCATGCATTTTCAGTGCAATCAGTAGTCCTATTACGGTGGCTGTCGGTACAGTCATCGATAATACATATTGAAAAATGTTCAGAAAGGGACAGAAGTTCGTCTTTATTGCCTTCATAGACGCATCATATACTTTATCTGAAAGAAACAGGACAAAGTATGGCAGCTGGAAAAGTCCATCTACCCATAATTGTATACTTTTAGAAATTTTGAGGGAGTAATAAACAATTGATCCAAAAAATGAGGGAGTAATAAACAAACATACATGCATGCTGTGAGATAATGTATTACATGTGTATGTTCAAATGAAAAAATAATGTATTAATGTGTTGCACGGGCACTGGTCAACTACGATCCAACCTTTTGTCTCAAGTTTCGCTGCCGAGTCTGAATCGTCTCTATCACCAAGTGACGTGGCTAATAGGCCGCCCAATATAAAGGTTGGTATATTGGTGCTTTATTTAAGGGGTATCATTTATGTGGGAAAGAGATACATTTTCAGTTTTCTAACCTATATAGGGCAATTCCAAATATCATGAAGAAATAAACGTGGGATGTAATAGCGTGGTATTATTATTATTGATGGTTAAGGACTTGTGTGTAATTATTTATTATTTGTTTAATATAAATACACAGCTAGGACTACCACAACGGTAAGCCATTATTCTCCAAACTTAATATTTCACATGGTATCAGACGCACGGGTTCCCTAACCCTAATGTCGACCTTGCCTCCTTCCACATCGACGCCTGTGTCTTCGGTGCAGCCACCGCCGTCGTCCTCTCGGCCGGACACCACTCATCCTGTTGTGACCTCAAGCTCGGCGCCCTCTCAATTTATGGAGCAGCCGGCTGGTTCAGGCGTGACGATGTCGCCTCACGTCTCCTCTTCCAGGCTTCCTTTACCGCCATTTAGTTCATACAATATGTTCAACATGCCGGAGCCGTTTACGTGGACTCCTACCATTCCCATGCAACCGCCTTCTTCATCTCAGCATCCCCCACAGTCGACGGCTAGAGCTTCTCCTTCCGGCATGCCAGCGTTCGGTGGCCCTACGTGGATTCGACAGCCCAGACTGTCACACTTTGATCAGCCGCCTTTGTTCCGCACGAGTCAAGCTTCTGCAGCCACCTCCAGCCCTGACGAGCACTTTGTCACAGTGCGTCAAAATAAATTTAATACTAACACTTATACGTAGTATAGCGTAGTAAAGTTCGTATCCACAGGGAAAGGAATAATTCTCTTTTTATGATACTTAGTAAATAAAAAGGGGGGATTTGGATTGAGTGATTTAATTTAATTAAGAACTAAGATGAACAACCTATATGTGTTTAATTCAAAGATAAAAAGGACTTGGCATTGCTACTTTCCACTTGTTGATATATTTTAGTCGATCATTGTCATATCTATAACTTATTCCCTCTCGAATACTCAATCGGGGAGTATATCCACTTCATCGAGGGTAGTTATTAACAACGACCGTTCATTAATAACCCTTACTATTAATCAAATATAGAACAACGCCTTATACCGATTTAATAGTAGCATTTAATCTTTCTAACTCCTTGATGAAATCAATTGAGATTGATAACCTCAACACAAGCGGTTTCGGTTTAACCAACAAAATTAATCCCTCTTAAGTTTATTAACCACGACCGTGCATTAATAAACCGAAGCTACTTACTTGTGAAACCATCAACGATTAACCATCGGTTCGTTGATCGTTTCTAGTAATAATTAATATATGAAACATAACTAGTTGATCCTTTAAGTAATGTTCAAAATATTAATATGAAATAAGAGTAGGAATTAATTAATATTCAAGGAAGAATATTATTAAAGAAGATGAATCTTACTATAATTAATATCAAGATGTTAACTAATTGTCATCTTAGCAACGCTCCCCAACATTAATATAGAGGAAGAAAATATCATTCTAACTAATGTCGAGATGTTAACTAATTGTCATCTTAGCAACACTCCCCAACATTAATATAGAGATGGTATTAAGGAAAGAACTATTAATTAATATTCAAGGAAAGAAGTTAAGAAAATAACTCACAACTTTAATAATCAACAAGCTTCAAGAGCAACACCAAGAATGGAAGTTTAGCTCCTCATTTGGAGACTAAACATAGCTAGAAAAATATAAAGAAAGACTATTCTAAACTGAGCTAAAGAGTATGGAAGAAAGGATGATTTTTTGTGAAGAAAAAGTGTGCTATTTATAGGTGTTTTTCAACACCTTTGGCCGGGTACCCGACCGGGTCAAGTATTTACCCGACCGGGTCCGGTCAAAATCAGATAATCCGCCACGTTCTGGTGATCTTCGCACGTCGTTTTGTCCCGGGTCACATCTGACCCGACCGGGTCAAGTAGGGACCCGACCGGGTCCAGTGACTTTCTTGGCAATTTCGTCTGTTAAATCATACCCGACCGGGTGGGGGTTTCTACCCGGTCGGGTTTCACTCCTGGGCAGTCAAATTTCTTGTTTTCTTCTCTTCAAAGTCTTCCTTTCCAACACCACAAATCCTAACTATACTTTACAACTTATAAATGAGAATTAAAATACGATTACAACTAAAATCACACAAATGTTTACAAACTAAATAAAACGGTAAACAATACACACAAATCAAACATAAAAATATACATTTATGCACTACTAATTAGTGCATATCAAATACCCCCACACTTAAACCTTTACTCGTCTCGAGTAAATCAAAATCCGATCCAAGAAGTCCTTAAAATGACAAGAATATCAACACACACATCCACGAGTGTTTTTAGAAACACATAAAGTAAATCCCCAAAAATATAATAGTAAAGAGGGTCTTCAACTCCATATTTCTTTATCAACCTCAACCTTTTTTTTTTCATTACCCTTAGGATCCTGCAGAAATAAAAGAAAATACTTTCTCTCGTTCTCTCATTTTGCCTAGGTGCCCTTTCGGGTTTTCATCCTAGCTTCCCACATTTTTCTGTTTTAATCCTCACAACTCACTCTCATTTTTGCTTTATTTTTGCTTAAGTTGCCCTTTCAGGTTTTCAACTTAACAAGCTTTTTAATATATATATATTTTTTACAAGAATAAAGAGTATGAATGTGAGTATTCCATAAAACTCTCCCCCAAGCTAATCAAAGTACTGTCTCTAGTGCTTGTGTCTGAGATGATTTTTTTTTTTGGTTACTTTTTGGGAGGTTTTGTTGGTGATTCGTGGGTGTGGAGATGAAAAGGGTGAAGAGGTGATGAATGAAATGGGTGTAATTGATGGATGGATGTAGGAGATATGAAGCTTTTGACTTTTGGAAATGGAGGAAATTTGGGGTGTGGTTCGAAAGGGAAGACAAAAGGGGGGTGATTCATTTTTTTTTGAGAAATGGACTGGTTTCCAAAAAAAATCGAGATACCCGGTCGGGTGGGGTAGTGTACCCGGTCGGGCATACTTTGTTCACCCGAGGCAGAATGTTTTTTTTGTTGGGTTGCCCGACCGGGTATAGGGGTCTACCCGGTCGGGTGTAAACTGTTCACCCGAGGCAGAAAGCTTTTGCTGGGTTGCCCGGCCGGGTATGGGAGTCTACCCGGTCGGGCGAAAAATTTATTCTTGTTTTGCTCATTCCTCGCCCGGGTGATTGCCCGGGTGTTTTGTTTTTAGAAGTAACCCGACCGGGTTAGGGTTTATACCCGGCCGGGTCCAATCCCAGTCCATTTTTTTTTTTGAAATGTGTAAAAATAAACTAATACAAGTAAACGTACCTTGCTTGGGTTGCCTCCCAAGAAGCGCCTTATTTAACGTCGCGGCACGACGCCATCATTGTGTTCAATCATTTAAACTTGGATCGTGATAGTTTAGCTTCGCCACATTTTCACTCATAGGGCTTCCATAGGAATGCTTGTTTCTCTGACCCATCACTTTGAAAATCCCTCCAGGATCAAATATCCAGTTTTTCATTGATTCATGTGGTGAGAGTGAGGGAAAGAAATTATCATTTAGGATGGTCAATGAAAAGTGTTTTGATCTTGGTGGCATGAGAGGGGGTATCAAATGTTTACTTAACTCCACTGTCATTTCCTGCATATTGGTGAATGAAAAGAAATCCAAATGATATTTTCTCGGTTTATTTTCAACCGCGAAAAGTACATTTGAATTATCCTCAAATTTGCTGAGGATTTCATCTTTGTTCTTCTCTACCCTTTCTGTTTCCCTTAGAGCCTCAGGAAATGGTGGCATGTTCTCAGGAATGGCCGGTGATGGAGTTGAGTTTTGAAGTTTCTCCTCCTCTGGTTGAGCTTCCTCCGTAAGCTCCTCTTCTTCTTCCTCCTCGCCAATGTGGTTCACAATGTTTGGCACTTGTTTCAATTGATTCTCCAAGTTCAGTTCTTTGAGCACTGTTTCTTGCGGGTATTGCGACATATCTTGTTGCATTTGTGTCACATTGATAGTGAGAGCTCGGATCATGTCTTCAGTGGACATGCTGGAATAATAACTTGAGTATGGATTATATGTGTTGGAGAATGAATCATACCTCTCTTGGAAAACAACATCATCACTCTGTTCAAAGTATTCTTCTTCCACCTTGGGGCAAAAATCCGTAAGATGCCTTTGTGACATGCAACTGTTGCAGGCCTTGGTATCTTGAACGTTTGAGCATAAGAGAAACTCCTTTACTAAAAATGTTAAGCTAGAAATTTGACTCTCTAGCGATGATGTGTTGGTATCCATTTACTCATATAAGCTCAGAAAATAGAAGAGCAAGAGATTTTTTTTTAATAACTTTTTTTTTATATTTTTTTTTTTGTTTTGATTTGTATGAGATAAAATAAAAAGAAAAATAATTGCCTCTCCCCGGCAACGGCGCCAAATTTGACGTGCACTCGTCGTTAGGTGCACTCAAAATAAATTCAATACTAAACACTTATACGTAGTATAGTGTAGTAGAGTTCGTATCCACAGGGAAAGGAATAATTCTCTTTTTATGATACTTAGTAAATAAAAGGGGGGATTTAGATTGAGTGATTTAATTTAATTAAGAACTAAGATGAACCACCTATATGAGTTTAATTAATAGATAAAAAGGACTTGACATTGCTACTTTCCACTTGTTGATATATTTTAGTAGATCATTGTTATATCTATAACTTATTCCCTCTCGAATACTCAATCGGGGAGTATATCCA